AACAAGTGCCTTACTAGTAGTAACAAGTGCCACGCTTCTAGTAACAAGTGCCTTACTAGTAGTAACAAGAAGCTAGTAGTAACAAGTGCCATCACTTTCTCATCTTTCTTCCCTGACTTCTCCCCCGACCCCAGCCCGCTCCCCTCCGCAGCCACCGGCCCCACAAACCGCCGCCAAGCGGCGACAGGTCAGAGCTCTCACAGGCCCCCATGCCTCGGAAGCACCCCTGCCAGACCTGCCACGCGACGCGCGCACGCGGGGAGTCCCAGTTCATGGCACCTCTGTGGCTGGGACCGCATATCCTCCCCAACATGCATATCCATCACACCATTACCACCAGCACAGGCAATCCCTACCAATACGCGATCCAATACGCGATCCAATACGCGATCCAACAAGATCACCCCAAGCCGCAGCACGCTCCCCCCCCTCGCCTCATGGACCCCAGTGGCGCCAGGTAGCTGCAGAGACGGCGACAGAGATGCGCTGGGCCGGCCTCCCGCCTTCGGGAGATGCCCGAAGGGACAAACAACTTTGACCTTGTAATGCGAGCACAGGTTTGGTGGCTCGCTTGGTTGTCATGATGTTCTCTGTCTATATGGGGGTTCCGATCCATAAAGGAAGAGCCTCACCCTAGTGTGATTTCTCCATCGAGAGGCTGTCAGGGACTCTTGTGTATAAAATATATATATGATAGATGCCTGTCAGAAGGCTCTCCTCAGCACTGCCTTCCTGGATTGCATTTTGAACAACTCTCTCATGCAACGACTTTTGACATAGTTGGACACGTCCCACAAAGATTTAAACCTCCTCCTGATGTCATTGGACAACCAAACTTGCTCACAACAAGTTTGTCAAATGCATGACATGCAACATGAGCAAGGACGCTACGTTCGGGGCTCCTGGCATCGCTACGAACGGAACAAGAAGCTACTAGTGGTGACCTCACTCGTGTGACCTCACTCGTTGAAACGCACGGTGCTTCGCCCTTTTGGGGCTCAGCGCGGGTCGGTCGTCAAGTGCGCTACGGTGAAACGGCCCAAGACGAGCAGAAATGGACACCCGCACAGCAAAGCAAGGAAGAACACGGTGCATTTGCTGGTCCATCTTGAGGTTTGGAAGATTGAGCATGTGGGACTGGGTCTATCCACCAGCAATCGTGGATCATGATAGTTACGTTGCAGGCCTTCGTTCCAAAAAGGTGATTAGGCCAGCATAGACCCCAAGCAGTGTCAGCAATAATATTTTTAGCGTCAACTCCTTGAATTCAAATGTTGGTGGGAACGTCTGCAAATATGTACCTGTAGCCTCCAGCTGTTTGGGAACGGCAGGTAAACAAAAAATGTTTGAAAACAACAGTTCCTGAATGTTCTTGATGCCTGAGTCACATGTGAATAACAAAGCGGGATATAATACGTATAGTATACTGTATCAATATATGTCTTAAATTTGACACTACATGACTGTTGCATTTATAGCCACACGACCATGGTGTTCTTGGGCCAGACCCAGAGGAGAAGCTGCTCTCAACTGGCAGGGGAGAACAAAAGGAACTGAACTTGTCATGAGCTTCACCGGATGTTGCGGGCCCTCTCTCTCGTGAGCCAGGTATTCGATCGAAGAACGCAGTACTCCGATGACCACAGCCTGTTGTCCAATTATATCATGACCTCCTGTCTTTGGGATGGTGCTTGCACAAGGGTATACCATCTGCTCCATGACAGGAGAAAGATGTGAGGCAGTGCCTCTTTAACAACCTGTGTTCCAACATGTTCAAAGGGTCGGAGTACGCGAGAACCGAAAGGCGCGACACCGGATGGACCGGTAGACCCCGACACCGACCGAACACGGCGTCAGGACACCAGCTGTGATAAGCGTAGCTGTACGACTGGCCTCGGTGAGACCAGGTGGTCTCCCACCCCGCAGTCGGGACCAAGCAAGGCTGATTTCGGTTGGCCTCCCGAAGAGGACGAACAATGGGTGACCCGGGAGTTCGTGGGGTGTGCTTTTGAACCAAACAAGGTGGTTCTGATCTTCATCCATGGATGAAGAAGGAAGCTTCCGCTATGGCAAAGGTTCTGCCATGGGGCATGTTTGATCACATTCGCATGGCAGCATTCACGCTGAACAAACCCAAACACATCCGGAATGTAAAAAACAGCTCATTGGAACTTGACGCGAAAACAACCATGACGATCAAAGGCTTCAAGACAACGGCACGGTTTGTTGCCGGTTCCCAGTCTTGAACGGCACCAGCTTCACAGCGATTGAGAGGACTGGTGCCGTTGGAGCTACCGCATGGAGATCATTGTGGGGGCAGAATTCAAGGGCAATTGGCAGGATAGGCCTCCACGTGAATCACATGCTGATTGCATGCGATAAATTGGTATTGATATGTGATCATATTCTGGTGAAGCAAGCTAAGTGAAGCTAGCGCACACAGACCAAAGCGGAGTAAGATTGGGTGACTGGGGTTACCCTCAAGCATTGATGTGGGATTTTCCATGCTCACCATCTTGCTCTTAATAGCGATGGCCTCCACCTAGTAGCTTCTTGCTCCTAGGTAACTGGAGAAGAAATTCATGTTGGGCACCCAGTCGGTTTCCTATGCCAAGTCGCGGCTTCGTCTGAGCTGGATTTGTATTCGCCGCATATGACCTTGAGGAGTCGGCAGGGGATCTTCTGTGGTGTTCAGCAGCGATACAGGTAGAAATGTTTTTTTGCTGAAACCTCAATGTGGAAATGCTGTTCTCTATTTTCTTCCACTAATACATTGATATGCTTTGCACAATCACTTGGTAGTAGCCACCATGACTTCCCTCCACTCCAAGAGAAAAGTTGTGCGGAATGCTTCCTAAGCTTGCTAGCCCAAGACTTGTTGACGAAACAGTATACCCTGGTGGCATGTGAACCTTGATGGAATGAAGCCACCGGTGGGAGGCCATCGCTAGGGAGTTCATGTCTACATGACAAACGACCTACGACCATCCTGGGCCGTTCCGCGGGGAACGTCTCCACAGGGAGTCCGACAGAAGTGAATTCCACAGCGCCAGGGGGCGAATTGACGGGGAAGTCCAAGGGCTCGTCTTCCTTCACTGCAGGGGTCTCAAAGCGATCTGGCTCATCCTGACAGGATCCAGACTGCGTTCTCGGCTTCCCATTCCACGTGGCCTAAAATTCCAAGACCTGCGGCCTCACCTCCAGCACCTGCGGCCTCACCTCCAAGACCTGCAGCTTGGCAGTCCTCTTCAAACTCCGGAGCCGAATTGCCAAAAGCGCTTTGGATCCTGGCCTGGCCAAGGTCCACCGGCAACCTCGACCTCGCCTCTCAGTGATCATCTGCGGGGGAATATTTACAACTGTTTGGAGTAGGTTGGAGGCCATTGCTATTGGAAACAAAGACAAAGAAAAGGAAGAAAGGTCTAATGTAGTTTTGCTCTTAGGTTGGAGGCCATGCTTCTAGGTGCAAGCGATTCCTTTCGGATTAAGCGCGTTGCTTGGCAAAATTTGGACCAGGCTGTCGCTTGCCACGTTCCGTCCCTTGTTCAGTCCAGTGGCAATGATGTCCTCGAGGAACTGCAGGTCCTCTGTGCTTCCGGTGTCTCGCGCTAACTTCCGGATCATGACCTCAAGCCGCCGTCCCTTGCTCGAAGACCCACGTGGCCAGGAACATCTGAAAAGGTCTTTTTTAGCATGTGTTTCTCATCCTTGGGCCCTACATGGCACGGGTCGGACCAGAGCCCCTTCCCACGGTGGCTGGACCACTTCTGGGCAACGAAAAGTCACTCAGTCGACAAGTGACAAGTGCCCTGGTGACAAATGGTACACCCACACCTGCCACACCTGCCAATCAATCTTGAACCGCGTCACCAAGAGCGATCTCAGGTTCATCACTTGCAACGCCTTCAGCCAAACCTGGCAAGAGATGGCAAGAGGCGATGGCAACCTGGTTGGCTCTTCAAACACTATCAAACACCAAATGCTGAATCTAGTAAAACTATCCCCTTCCACGGTCTGCACGATACACCAACGCTTGCCCTCACCCAAAGGAATCATGCTTCTCTACCAATATCCCTTCTTACCCGCCCCAACCTCCTCCAGCTCCGAAACAGCCTTACTTGCATAGGCATATACTGGCACCTGCAAACTTATAAGTGTCATAACTAGATACTGAAGATGACAACGCTGGCACTAATATATAAGTGTTTTGTTTGTATCTATCTATTGCAAATCTAGGTGTACTTATAATCATCTTGATATAGTTTATAACTGTTATAAACTTGCCAATACAAGTACCATATGTTTGGTATGTCTGTTGTCAGACTTACTAACTGGACGGCGTCTTAAAAAAAGAGAGGTCGGGGGGTTAAAAAAAGGGGAGCCCTTTTATATGTAATGTACAATTAGTTAATATATACATCCTCCATTATCCGACCCCAAAAAAGTGTTCAAGAACGCCGCGTTGTTGGCACCTTCTTGTCACGGCCGCTGTCTGGTTCTGAGCTGCTGGATCCGGTGCTGGCGGTGCTGACGCCGCTGGTGCGGCTCGCCCGCCGTAGGTCGCCGCGCCCGGACCACAGCGACGAGTTGGCACTGCCGTCGGGGAAGGACTGTGGCAGCCCCGCCTCGAAGTCTGAGAGTGGCCGGATGCGGGCAAGAAGCCACGAACGTAGCTCCTGGCACTACTAGGAACAAGGTTCGCTACTAGGGGCTCCTGGCATCGCTACTAGGAGCAAGGATGCTACTAGGGGCTCCTGGCCGTACTACTAGGAGCAAGTTGCTACTAGGAACAAGAAGCTAGCTATGAACGGGGGCGGGGTTCTTGCTCAGACGAGCTCCGCGAGCTGTGTTGGTTGAGGTTGATTTGAATATCACCGAGTAGAGTAGTCTAGTTCTCATGGGTTTGTTCGGAAGACATGTCGAGTCAAGGACTTATATCTACTGATGTTCCAACAAATGTGCCTACAAGGGCGTTTTTGGGCCACAAACAAACTGGCGTTTGTAGAAAAGGTGACGTTTGGGAAAAAAACCGTCGCCCAAACGCGATGGGATGCAAGCCCTGCCGCCTGTAATAAGGAGACACCTTCCGATTGCTGCATCCAAGAAGCATTGTGAGCAAGCTGCTCGAGAATCTGCAGGACATCCTGTGATTGGGTAGGCTCTCACATGACCCAAATTTGGTGCATTCTGGATTCTGCATTCTCAAAAACAGTGCAGCGGCATCAAGACAATAAACCCAGGCGACTACACCGCCGGCCAAATGGAATCGTAGCTGAGGATTTTTTCAGGTCCAACTGTCACAGATTGGACTCAGTGGACCCCAAGTCCTCTCAAGGATCCAAGAACTCGTAGAAAACTGGATATGGGGATGGATACCCCGCATCCAGGCTGTCCAGGTAGCAATGAAACACCATGAAACGCCTCTGGGATGGGTTCGCTGTCAGTCCCTGACTCCTCCATCCAAGGGTCTGTCTTGATCTCCTTCATGTTCACTCGATCCATGTCGGCTTCCGTCAAAATGGGCGAAAGCTCCTCAACGGTACGCGCGTTTTTGCGAGCTACCTGCGATACATCAAATATATATATATATAATATATATAACTTAATCTATAATACCAATGAGAGCCACCCTTGCACCCATCACCTTCAGATACCTTCATCCATAGCCCACCGCGCATCCACAGCGCACAGTACGCTCGCTCGTCCTGGGCGACTTCGGTTTCCACCGGGACCTCGCAGAGCGAGGCCAAGCGTTCCTCCGTCAACAAGGAGACCTTCGAAGCCAAGATCGGCACCACCACCTGCGCGACCAGCCACCGCCCCGACCCGGGCGGAAAACAGTGATGTGTCATGCTCGGTCCGGGTCGGCCCGGCAAACGTCGAGGGTTGGCGGTTTGGCATCGGTGTCCCATAAAGAGCCCGAGGCATCCGCTGAAAAATGCCCTCACAAAAAACAAATGGCACACATCAGTCTCGGACCAGGTACCCCCCCAAAAAGACACGGCACAAACTTTGGCATAGTTCGCCCCACCCTTGATCCATGAAACCTCCGCCAAGCTTTGGGTATAACTTAATAACTTATAATGCTTCCAACTGTTCGTCGAGCCTTCAGCAACTTCCGGAAAGGCATTCGCTTCAGCGCCTCTCGATGCCGCTTGTCCAGCCGTAGAGGCCGCTTGGAGTGCGGCATGTGGCAGAAGGTGCAATCCACACCAGACGTGCACGTGCCCGTACGGAAGTAGATGCAAGGTCTGGGGCACAGGTCAGGATGCCCAAAGCTACCTGTGCCGGGTCGAAAATGGGCGACCTTGTGTCATGGATCAAGCACCAAAAAACCGATTCCAGGTTGCTCTTTGTCCACGCCTGGGTTGGTCGGCTGTGCTGCACAAGGCGCCCTCTCTGGGACCATGACGCCGCCGCTGTTCACCGAGGACGGCGCCCGCACATCTCCGCGGCCGCGGACCTTGGCGCGAAGCAGCTGGTCGGCGACCACCTCGTTGGTCACGCTGTGAGGCATGAAGTCTTTGTCCTCACAGCGAGAGAAGCTGAACAAATGAGATCAAGGAGGCAGTGGATATGGGCGGATTGTGGGATGGATGGTGACTTGCTGAGAAGTGCCCAGAATGAGAGGAGTGCTTTTCCGAGCTCTCGTGTGGTTTAAAGACTTCATGGGTCTTCATGGCATGCAGCGCCATCCGGTGCGCTGCTTTCTGGTCCTTGATCACTGCCAAAGCAGTGTCCATGGCGTTGTGTGTGGCCGCAGGGAAGATAGTCTCCACATTCCTTGGGAAGATCAAGACGTGAAGCAATCACATGAGATAGAATCAAATAGAAGTTAACATTGGATGACTTCTGCAGTCGATTTTGTCTGTTCCACAATGTTGTCACTGCGTGAAGAGATGGAGGAAGGGAGCTGCTATGGGCCTTGCAGCTACTGGATCTTTGACCCCATGAATTACAGTGAAAAAGCAAACAGCATACTATCAAATTTGGTATCTAAGACATTCTAAGACTCTACGGGTCACAACATATTATGGCCCACACAAGAATCAATTCGGACAACACGAGCATCACATCTGACGAAACATGCATCTCAAGCTTAATTAGAATACTACAGTAATGGATCTCCCACATTTGAAATTACTTGACATGCATCAATACCCCCTCCGTGACCCATTATGGGAGATTTCTGGAGGTCGGTCTGCAACGTCGCGCCAGATGCAACGAGCATCTTCTGGAGTAGCAAGTCGTCCTCCACAGCGTTGCGGATCTTGCAGACCTTCTTCCACTTGAGCGCCGCCTCCTCCTGTGAAGGATCCGGTCGAGGATCAAACGGATCAAACGCCAAAACGAAGGAGCCAGCCATACCAATCAAATGCGACACCCCTCGCCTGTTCCATGTCCCGCACATTCACATCTGCAAAGAGATCTACACATTCCGGAGATCACTCCGACGCCCGTGCTTCACACCAAGATTCACACGTCACGAATTATGAGATCTGATATCACAATGATTCTCGATTCATCTCCATTCTCCAACTCCCTATCATTTCACTCCCAGCGCCCTTTTTCCCACCTCCTCCTGCTCATCATCCTCCTCTCGCGGCTCACGCAGGGAGGCCAGTGCGATGTCCAGTTGCTGCGTCGCATGGGCACGGCACTCCTGGGCGGCCGCCTCCACGGCATCGCCAGCGATCTTGGCCACCTCGCTGGACATGTCCTGAGCCACACGGGTGTCGACGAGGCTGCCGGGTTGGAGCCGGGTGCCGGGTGAAGAATCTGGATGGAGCGAAAGGGTGAGTGGTTAGTGGGTCGGCCAGCTTCAGGGCTTCCCACCGTGTCGGCATGCGGTCATCAGTCCTGCATCTGTTCGGCCAACTCTTCACCACCTTCATGGTCTTCTTCATGGATGGCACTCAGCTGCTGGATCATGCCACCCACCTTCTCGCGCACCTGCGCTTTCGCTTTCTCCATCCGTGACCTTAGCTTTAGCAGCTTAAGATGCATCTTCCACGTTGGGATCGAGAGGGTCCATGAGTTCTCATTCTCCTGACATTTATGTCTATGTCTAATTAATATAGTCTCATAGTAGTATCACCATGATACGGAATCAAGTGCATGGTTCCAACATATTCAAAGCACAAGTGCGTTTGCCTACGCAGTCTCCAAACAAATCTCAATGCTCGTGGCTTCACCACCAAGCACTTCCCGCGAGTCCAATACAGCGGAAGAAGAAGAAAAAATACACCATTCTGGCAGTCAGAACGGTACTGATCACTTAGCTTCCCCTGGTTCGTTCCCGGCTGTCGGCTACGCAAAAAGAACACCCTCCCACGGCTGTTTCGTTCGGCCGGGTTTGGGGTGCCCGAACTCCAAGAGGTTCAACACCATCGTCGGGATCACCTCACACGGGTCACGCGATGGTCAGCGATACATCGCGACGTCTCGTCTTCCGCGAAGAAAGCGAACGACTGACGGGTGGACGGGCGACTGACCCTGATGTCGACTATACCCCTTAAAAGACGTGGGAGTTCTGTGTGGCTTGAGGATGATTGAGGATGATTGAAGGACAAGGAGCCTTTTGGCACCTGGTGACCAATGGTTGTCCAGAGTGTGTGCATCCCTCTTGGTCCAGATGCACTTTGTTGTCTGCGCGAATGCTTTGTGGACGGTGACGGTGGGGCGAGCTCTCAGGCCTATATGAGTTGCACCAGGTGGTCAACACAAAACGATCAAGGAGCATACAACATCATACAACCAGCTGTCTACCCCCGAAAAAACAACGGAGGTGAAAGACCATGAAAAACCCTGTCAGTCGACGAGGAGGACAGTCTTCCAAGGAGCCATGATAATCCCCAGGCGAGCACCCTTTGGACAGCCCACACGGCATGTGATTCGGATCCACCTTTTTGGTGGATCCTCCGGCGGAGCTGCAACGCGTAATGCGCTGCCTATACATTGGACAAGACGTGTCTTGCATTTTCACTGGCCCACCAGTGAGCCATGACCACGAAGCCGAAGCAAGGTGGATAGGATAGATCTGTTTTCGCCGGCCCAACGCCGCCAAAGTGGCCACCTTTCGGCCAGGCTGGACGGGTCTTATGGATCGAGGTAGCCTAGCCTCTGTTGCAGGTGCTGGTATGTCCTCAACACCTTTGGGTCGATCCTCAGAGCGAAACTTAGCGACGACGTGAGCCGAAGCGACGAAGCGAAGCGAAGCGAAGCGAAGCGAAGCGTGAGCCAACGCTTCAACATATAGGAGTATATGGAGATGTATAGGGGAGACAGGAGACCCATGGTTCTCTCCATGCACCACTTATGAAGTGTACTGGCGGCGCAGCGACTCTGAACAAAGCACAAGAGGAGCCTTTGTGCTAACCTTGATAAGCAAACTTGACGGAAATTGGAGTAGTCTTCAACTCCGCCAAGCGTTACTGATAGCGCTTCAGTTTCTCTCTTTCGCATCCCTTCGACCAAAAACACACACATGGCAAAGGCCGCATGAAGCCTCAGCACCTGCACTCCAAGTATCTTCTGCATGGCTTTGAGCGCCTCTTGCTCACACTGTGGGTCGTTCGTGTGTGCTGCGATCTTCCCAGGGTGCCGAAACCCGTCGGCCTCCTGTGCCGCGCGGAGGGCCGTTTGACGCTCCGAGGGCGTCAGGAGATCCTGGCGGTCGCCCGCCGCGGAGGACACGAGCCGTCGTGTCGTAGCTTGAGAAATCAGCTTGGATAGAAGTCCCAGCATGGTACAGTGCCAAGCATGTGCAAGCAGCTTGAGTGGATCCCACAAGTAGTTGGGGGGGCTTGTAAGAGCGGTGCATGCAACACCATCACTCCTCATTCCAAACTGTCAGAGGGGTAGCTCACCGTTCGGGTCCAAATCATGCGACACATCATTCTCGAACTCGTTTGACCTCTGAGTCTGCCTGATTGCACATACACCTATACCCTTTTTGGGCTAACCAAGTGGGGAAGAGCCTAATTGCCTGGAACTCCAGAATACTTCGAGGTTTGGGATTCTCCTGGATTCTCATTGCCCCTTGTTATGTTTGATCCAGTTCTTTCGGTTTGGGATCGACGCCGATCGACCAAGCTCACCCGATCAGCCTTGGGGAACCAGAAATCCAATAGCTCATTGACCACCGCATCGAAGCTGTCAGAAGACTCGGTGAGCCGCTCAAAGCTTAGGACCATCAAGTCCGTCGGGGCATCGTCCACCACGCTGACCATCTGACGGATCAGCGGCAACATGCTTTCCTGGAATCAGAATCAGGAACGGCGGCACGGCAACACGGTGATACACAAAGCGACATCGGTCTAAACCTCTAAACCCACGTGGACATGGCAGGTGCACGTGTAGACGGCACCGAACTAGCCACCGACTATCCACCGATTGGCCTATCAGCTATACCTACTTAAGGCCATCAAGCTTCTGCCGCCAAAGCAGTGCCCTCCAACACGCCCAGGCGTTGCAAGTCTTTCACCGGCAGAAGTTCGTTGGTCGCCTCCTGCCCCTCATGGTGATAGCAGTAAGCAGAAGCGGCCATCCGTATCGGGTCACGCACGCTCACCGCTGTTAGAATCGGCCTGGACCATGGAAGACACCGCGACGGATGATGTCTTCACCCCGCGGTTTTGTGCATAGCTGGTGTAGAGGTGAAGTGCTGAGTCTAAGTAGCAAGAATCCTCGAACCAGGCGATAGCTTAGAACAAAAAGCTTCGGTACAAGCATACATCCACCAGCCTCGAGGAGGAGAAACAATATCTCCTCCGTGTTCAGGTCCTTTGTTCGTCCTTGGACTTCGGTTTGAAACTCCAAAACGGCGCCTGTCGCCGTGTCTTCGAGCATGATCCTCCGCCACCGAGCGGTTGTAGGTGTCGGTGATCTGCAGCACCGGCGCATCGAGGCCGAAGCAGAAATTCAACGGCGAGCCTGGGCGCGGCAACGGCGAGCCTTGTGGTGCGTTCGGCACAAGAAGCCGTATAATATGAATTCGGGGCAGGTAAGGAAAAGGTACTATAGAGATTGCTAGAGTCACTAGATGTCACTAGAGTCTACAGTCCTAGCTCATTGTGCCTGACTGTTGGTCTTGGTTTCTTGTAGCATGTTCCAGGGCATATGCACCACGATGCCAGAATAGAAGAATTCTCTTAGAGTGACATCCCTGTTGCTCACACCAACAGATCCGAGGAGCAGGGGTAAACCTCATTGCCGAGGTCCAATGTCTTTCCAGTGTCCAAGGATGAGAAGACCCGAAAGAAGATCCCAGCGGTGAGATGCACTCCCGCCTTATGATAATTCGCTAAAATGTAGCGATTCACCTGCCTCAGCATCCGATCCAGACGGTCGACACCCACCGAAGGTCTTGGGGAAATAGCCGGTCGACCGAGTGATGACCTCACAGGTCAACCCGCTTTGACAAGCAAGTACCACGGTGGATGTGCTTCTTCTTCTTGGTTCAGAATGAAGTCCAATATCAGGTCTACTTGCAAGAACGCCTAGGAGCAACCACCACAACCCACAACGGTCCTTAAAAGCCATGACGTTCGTCTCATTCCGCACTATGTTTTCATCCTTAGCGGTCCCAGTTGGGTCACTGGTGCGCCCAAGTGACCAAGGCTTCAAACGGCTCACGGGACTCACTTGTCGTTGCAGCATCGACAGCCCATGCTCGACAGCCAGATCCACATGGGTATGGGCCCCGAGGCTCAGATGACATCCCGCGAGGCCCAGTGCGATGAAGGCCGCAGTTGACATGGGAGGGCGGAGTTGACAAGACGGGTTGATCGGATTGATGCAACTTAATGTCGATACATCTACCCGAATCGGCCCAAAAAGCCCTCGCTCTGATCTCTGGTTTCTGAATGTGGGTGGATTTGGCAGATTGCCAAGTGTTCCTGTCATTCCGTTCCAAAGATTTCGTCCCTCATCTTAGGTCTTAGGTTATTATCGTTTTCTGAATCAATCCGGATCAACCCCGAAGACAGTTCAGGCACATGAAGAGTCCGCGGGTCTGACCTGCGTGGCCGCCGCGGGCGCTCGCTGCGATTGAGCGGGAGTTCCTTTCACAGCGCCTTGAGCCCAAGAGCAACGGACAGGTAACGACTGTTGGAACCCGGATCTTGATCCTGCATGTCATGCTGGAGCACAGAAAGCATTGATGACACCGTGGCACATGGACACCATGCGACATCTGGGCCAGGGCCAGGGAGCTGTTTTGAGGAGAAGACGACCACCGGTTGGACGAGCCATGGACTTCACGGATTTGGCAGCGACAGAATTGACCAAGCTTTCGATAGTTCTCCGGACAGGTTGACAGACTCCGTCAGCCGTCGAAATGGAACGGTCAGTGTTTGCTCTCACCGTGCGCTCTCGTTCCGCCGAAGGAACGGCATCACGTGAGTTCTGACGCATCACGCGCCGACAGAGTTCGTCTCACCTTCACCGGTCAACCCACGGTTTTTCATGGGGTCCCCAGCCTCCCGTGTCCACGTCCGCTGAGACGTCCAGTGAGACGCGTCCGGTCGGTGACCGTCGCATGACTCTCCGAGTGGCTTCCAGGTGCTTCATAGCCTTGGTCGTCTCCGAGCTCTGCGCGCTTTCGCCACGGATCACCGTGGAGACCTCGTTGATCTCGCTTTGGACCTCAGGGAAAACGTGCTCCGTTGGTCGTTTGTTGGGGGTCATACTTGGAAATCCAAAAGACCGAATGGATCTTTCTAAAGCGATCTTGCTTATATAGGAGCAATGAAGCTACTAGTAGCTCCTGGCATCGCTACTAGTAACAAGGGCACCGCTACTAGGAGCAAGGACGCCACTAGTAATAGCTACATTGACTTATCGTTGCGCGATTTATTCGGCTCGGTTCTCTTTCGGCACCAAAAGCGATGGCTATGCGTCGACGGTGCCATCCTGGGGCTCTCACACTGTCGACCACGTGACTTGCTAGCTTGTGCATGTCTTCACCTTAGCCACACGAGCATGGAGCACGACGTGCGGCCACACATAATAGACATTGCGTAAACTCGGAAATGATTTGAATGTTCCCATCTAAGCATCTGGGTCAGGACTGGAATGGGGGTAGTGAGGGGAGAGGGTGTCGTGCACCAGCTGCACCAGCTGCAGCTCCCAAGAAAGAACAGCCTCACTTGGCCCATGCGCACTGAGAAGTCCTTGGGCCAGGCTGTTTCAAAGGAAGTGTGTAGGAACCAAACCTCCCGGCCTCCCGTTCCGGGCATCCAACCGTCCCAGACCGTCGACCCAGTGGCCTACTCTCTTGGGAAGCTCTTCCATGGCAGCCAGCACTGTGGACATTCGCTTCTTGTTGCCCCATCCTTCGTACCTCAGGTGCTCCAATTGTTGCCACATGTCTCGCAAAAAAGCCTTGGGCGGACCAATTTCAGAGCACAATAGGCCAATAGGCCATCCGCGGCCATCGTCTGCCGCACTTCGCATGGAAAAAACTGCGTCTGGTGTCAGAACATGGCCCCATACTCCAATCCAAAGACCCAAACACCACTGAGGACACCAACATCTTGAAAAGCCCAAAATCCAAAATAACCTGCCCATCTTGGCTTCTAGAAGCCACCCGCATCACTGTGATAACGAGGAACATCTGCTGTGCACCCTCTTGCATTTCCTTACTCAGCGCTTGCCGCTGGTCCTCGCGGTGGAACCGGGTGGGCAAGTGATCCCGCTCCACCGCCTGTAGATGCCTCGTCGCGGGGGCAGTGCAACATACATGGCCTACATCTGGCCTTGGACGTGAGTCGATGTGTATCTATGTGTCCTAGGTATCGAAACGACAAGGCCAAGCATTCACACGCCCTTCACGAGAACCAGCGAAAGGTCGGTGTTTGAAAGTCCCGTCACACGGCGCCCATCGGCGGCAACGTGAGGCCGGTCGGCCAAGTCGGCCAATGGACTTTCTGGGAAGGGGTCAGGCCAATCTTCCTTCAAGTTCATCTGGAGGGATCTTAGAGGGATCTCGAACCCCCCATGGCAAATCTCATCACACAGAAGCAGCGTATGCAATTTTGTGATTTCTCCTGAGCCCACGCGTTGGTGGATCCAAATCACTGTCCATTGAACATAAAAACGACCCCCAAACTGCCAGCTTGGCATGGCCTGGTGCGGATTTCGTGCTTCAACTCTTTCACCTGGCCAAAGCTCAGTCGAACGGTCGCTCATCCCTCCATCTGTGTGCAAGGAACTGAGGCGACATTACGTTAGTCTGGTCCCACTGCATTGACATGCCACATGTCATGCATCTCTACATCGCAATTAGATTCACTTCATGTGGTCATGCTATGGGGCATAGCACTGGGCATAACATATGCCATGCTGGACATGGAAGTGAAGCAAACAGCATGCCTCCTGCTCTTCCACCGGTGGTGGTTCATTTTGATGGCAGGGTCTGGGTGGTAGTTGTACATCCTTCTTGGTGTGGTGCCGCATAGGTCCTTGCAGTGCATAAATTTGTTTAAAATCTTGAGAAAGCAGGCGTTGACAAGGGAAGTGTGAAAAGGACATCGCTAGATGACTTCAAGAGATTCGCAGTTGCAGGCTGTTGACCCAGTGGGTAGGCATCATTTGCGGCTCCTTGTGCGGGTCTCTGAACCACGGAACCAACAAACACAAGAATAGGCAGGAAGGAGCAGTATGGAACAGTCTTGGAGTCCCTTTGACAAGTTCACATTCCCAGCCACCAATGTGAACTAATTATGTTCTTAGCAGCAGCACTGTTTGAACCCCTTTCTCCACCACCAAGCAATGAACGGCTTCGAAGATCGTGGGAACGAAGAAGAACCGGTCCCAACTCCAACGATCGACCGGAGTTGGATCTCTTGGAGGCTTTTCCCCACATTGACGTGTGAGGTCTTTGCTTTTAGTGGTGTATCCGCCCGGTCTTCCTCCTCCGCCTCCTCCTCCCTCCAACCACCAACCAACAAACCACCACCAACCACCAACCAACCACCAACCACCAACCAACCACCGCCAACCAACCACCAACCATCAAGCACCAACCAGCCACCAATGACCAATCTGCCGGTGGCTTTTGCGTGGCAAACGAAGGACTTGGTGCTCTCCAAGGGGTTGGATGTACGCACTGGGGTCGCTGTGTGTATCCGCTCGGTCTTCCTCTTCTTCTTCCCGCCACCCGTCCTCCAACCAACCACCAATTTTCCGCTCCTGTGTCTGGTGAAGTTGTTAACATGTCGAGGTTATCTGGTCCTATAAATTCCACTTCGTGGTTTTCTCCACTCGTTTTGTCGTCCCCTTCGTCCCGAGGCTCGGCTCTGCCGCTCGTTCCAGGGCTTCCCTTCCCGGCGCAGCTGCCGCTGCACGCGGGTCGGGTGCCGCGTGCGGGGCGGCTCGGACATGGGATAGCCACCGTTCCGGCGCTCCAAGCGGATCTCCTCTTCGGGGACCTGCGGCGTTTTGTTGGTGCGGCGAACGATAAAAGAGCGAAGCGGTTTCGCAACGCAAAGGAATTCCAAAGAGAGAAAAACGACTTCTGGTTTTGCAAGACTTGCTTTTAGGCAAATGGTTTGTCATTAGAGGGATGTTTAAAAAAGATCCCCAATCTCCTTGTGGTTGAAGGATAGGACAGTCCATGTGTGTGACCCTTCTGGTGATCCACTCAAACGCAACCTGGATGCGTCCGAGTTCGTGGCGCTGGCGACATCCCAGGCCCAAAGGATCTCACCATTCTGACCGAGCATGTGGTTGTTCACCGGAAGTTTCGGCCAGGCATCCGAGTCCTCAGCGTGTTGGGTATTCTCTCTCACGATGGACGCAGCTTCCCCCCATATGTCAACAATATATACGACATGTTACGACATAGACATGCGCTAATCCACGGTTGAGCTCGTTGCCGGTTCCCAACGACATGCACCAGTGGTGTCCTGTTTAGCTTTCCTCTTCCTACAGCGGCCTACCTGCGCTGGGCTTAAAGACAAAAAAAAGCGAAGACAAGTCTCTTCATCATCCTCCAAATCCGACCACCGCAAGGAGCTTCGTTTGATGGTCCGTGGCTCCACCCCCTTGGAGCTGGCCGTCTGAACCGCCTCGAGACTCACGTAACGCGCTCTCTCAAAATGAAAAAGGTGCAAATGTGAAGACAGGTGATACAGGAGTTGTTTCTAGCAGCTTCAAAGACATACTAAAATGCTTCTTGTTACTACAGGTGAAGCGTTTTTTTCACTGAAACGATTCCCAGGGAAGCTTCTTGTATACCTAGTAGCAAAAGGAACCTCATAGGAATGGCCTCCAACCTACTTGCGATGGCCTCCACCTAATAGCGTCCTAGCTACTAGGGACTCCGTGAGATGTTGTGTTCTTCTTTGTTTTGTTTAAATCTCTTTAAGCTTTCTCTTTCCCTCTCGCTCACACGTGCACACGTGAGGCCGGATGGCGATGCAAGGAGGGCATCGGTTCTTTCTTTTTGTGGGCAAGAGGTGAAGGACATAGCTCGCAGGAAAAACGGCATGGTTTGGAAGCTGTTTCCACAGCTCTTTTGGGAAGGTGCGTTGGAAAATAGCATTCAACCAGAACATCTGGACAGCTGGCCTCGCCCTCAGGAGCAAAGGCTCCCAGCCTGCCTTTCAAATCCAATGGGAAAAGAATGAGTTCCCTGGGCTCTAAGCATGCAAATCCAACACTCCAACTCCCAGCGTTAAGATCATCCTCTCTCAGCCAGGCCACTGGAGAATCATCTTCCTTTTGAAATAGATTCACTTGCATCCCCTGGAAGTCGAAGCTCGTTGGGCAGTCACGTTGCCATTCATTCCTGACAAAGAATGTTGAGTGAATTTCCCTGGAGAAGGCCAAATGCTTCTTGGAAAAATATCCTATCTCCTTTGCTGTTAGCGAGCTCTGGTCATTAGAAAAGGATCCCACTCAAGGTCTGATACCTGATGACTTCATCAGGTATCACGTTCGAAGGTTCACACACAGCCCGAACTGTAGGTGAAGAAAAGGCAAAGTACTTCTTGAAGGCGTTTTTCCTTCCCCTGTCCCTGTGCCACAAATTGATGAAGGACAGAAATGTGAGCATGGGCCCGGATACCCTTCGCCATATCTGTGAGATCTCTGAAGATGACTCTTAAACACAAAAACACATTCCAGTCGAAGCACCCATCAGGCTCCACCGCAGCGCCCGCGGCACTGGAGGTAGGCTCATTGCCTGGTGCTGAAAATCACTGATGGAGGCCATCGCAAGCAAGGACGCTACTAGGGGCGCTCCTGGCCTTACTACTAGGGACAAGAAACAAAGGGCATCGCCGGAGCAAGAAGCTAGGTTGAAGGCCGCTGTCAGGTTTCTTGAAGTGAGGCCTCTTGGGGTGCTTTGAGGCCGGCAGACACCGGCACTCGGTCTCAGGCGGCAGAAGCGCGTCACTTGGCACTTGCGACCAACCCATCTCGGTGATGTGACGTGGCGTTGGTGACGGATGAGCCGTCACGGGTCTCGTGCATTCTTTGGATCTTCAGTAACAAAAAGCTACTAGTAACTAGGGCATCGCTACTAGGAGCAAGGGCCTTACTACTAGGAACAAGAAGCTAGTAGAAACAATATATTCTTTTTTCTTTTTTCTTGGAGCTGGACGCAGGTGCCCCATCTACATAGATCAACCGAGACTTCGTCTGTCCAGCTGAAACCACGTTTTCGGATCTGTGTCAACACGAGACACACGTGACCGGCCTTTACGCAAGCGGCAATTCGAATCACACCTTGGACAGTGAATTCCAGATTCCAATGTCTCTCCTTCCAACCAACAAGCGTGAAGGCTTCCATCCACCTTTCCGGCCTCCGATTCCATCCCGATCCTTTAAAGTCCGGCCTTCCAAGGTGCTTGCCGGTGGTAGGCCCATCCGACAGCAGGCCCCTATAAAAAGAGTCTGTAAATCTGTTCACCTGGCTGCCCGAACGCACCGGTTCGAAGGTATTACACGGACCCACCACATGGAGGGCACATGCGTGTACACCGAGTGCACTCCACACTCGTCAAACATGTGAGGGACCTGAAGTCCAAATATGAACAAATCAACTACTACTAGTATAAGGCACTTGTTACTAGTAGCGTGGCACTTGTTTCTAATAGCAAACATTGTTACTAATCATATGGCGCTACATGTTGGCGCTACAAGCAGGTGAGATGCAGTATAAAAGCTTTTATTGACCCCAATTCGCAAACCTGCATGCACCGGCAAATGCATGGAAATTCCCTTTCATCGAACATCGGAAAGCCAGAAATGCAGAAGACGTTTCGTAAGGGCGGTCCGAGTGGGGATTTTCTTTTGGGTCCATGTCCCCTCTCACGAGGTCAGCTGATTCGGTTGCATTTGTGGAGACTTCGGGGAAGACACCAAGAGACTGTGAGGGGGGCTGCTGTCTCGCGCGTCGGACGAGTGCGGGCCGATCCGTCACACGTCTCGCACGACGGATCGAAGCCCACCGGGCCCCAAGTCGAAACCAAGGCACGCAGGGGAGACTCAAATCCTCGCGAAAGATCATGTAAAGGTTGGTCGCGAAGCGGCCAACCTGTCCTCAAACGGCGATCGCCGCGCAGTTCGCGGTGTGCGTGGTGCACAAGCACCGCATTTCTTGGATTCATTTGGATTCTGTCCGGAAAGCTTCAGGATCGGTCCCGTGGAATGGCCGGGCTGCTTTGGCGCACGGGTCGGCACTTGCGATAAGGAGGGCCTACCCAAGCTCCACAATCCCAAGGCTGACATGGCTCGGGGCATCGGGGTCATGAAGCTTCAGAATCGAATATCCCTCATGTCTCTTCACGTCTCTTCTCTCTTCAGTTTGGGTGTGGAATGGTATCCACGTGCATGTCACCCCATCCACATTCCACCAGCATCGAAACAATTCCTCATGGCCAGCGTCAAAGCACTCCACAACCAGGCTGTGAAGAGAGGATTAGGTCCGCGCGTTGAGCACGGGCCACTGCCAAGGCAGCCGACTAGTGAACGGTCCGGGGAAGGTGAATGAAGCTTCAGCTGAGGGCGGGTATTTGTGACCGGTTCCAGGTCCTCTTTAGGAGCCTGTGCTGCAGGTTCAACAAAGGCCAGTCCTGCTGTCCAAGTGGTTCGACCAACCTTTGGGGAGTTGTCTAATCTTACCCCTATGTAAGTGCTGCCTGAGCGCTTCAGCGCACTACTCACTACAGTTGTGACTCTGTGAAATCATTTGTCCACGAACCTGAAATCTGAGCAGCTGGCGTCCATCCGGCGAAATGTGTTAAACTCAGAAACGATCATCCACTACTAGGCACTTACTGTTCTCAAAGTCAAAAGCCAAAATAGGGAGCTCACTGCTCCAGAAGGGCTTGCTCATGATTGACAAGTGCACTCTTGGAGATAATCTACATAACTTGTGCAACTTGATCCAGTTCACCTCTGTAACGTCTGTCATAAGGAGGCCATCGGCTACTAGGGTGGAGGCAATCGCTATTGGGTTTCAATCCGTTTTTCACTCATTTTCACTCGCGCAAAGACCATGTAAAGCCCCCGGCGAACCCCAAGTGCTCCATTCTTTTCCGCAAGCGATGCAGAAGATGTTGGACTTTCTGGGACCGCCACAGCGTGCGCTCGACCAGAAATATTGCATTAAAAGAACAAACAAATAGCTTATTGTTTCTAATAGCTTCTTGTTACTACTAGTAAGGCACCTGTTACTACTAGCGTGGCACCTGTTACTAGTGACTCCACTAAATACATCTAATTAAATATGCTACTACAGTATATACATCTAGTGCTCGACCGAGTGCATTGAACAGAATAGCTCGGTCAGAGTCCTCACGAACCGATTTCGTCAGAGTCCTCCCGCACTACACGGAGAGCAAAAAACATCTGCTTTGAGCCTCATCTTCAATCTCACCTGGTCAGCCTGGAGCGTGCATGCGGCACAATCGGGTCAACTGAGAATCTAGAATCTACACATTGAAAGAATACCGCCTCCAAGGGGAGAAAAAGAACCGTGCAAGCTGAGCTTGTTTTAAGACATTCAACCCTACCAATGTACTCAGCGAAATGACCGCATGTCCGTCAGATTGATCCAGCGAAATGACCAATGTGCCACAGTTCAGCGGTCACCCTTCGTCGCCGGGTAGCTCCATGAACTCCGGCCCGTACGAGTCAGAGCAGTTCGACCAGGTAAGGCTGCCTGAGGAAGGCTCCGTCTGGAAAAGGGATGGCGGCCCAATGCGTTCCAATAGACAGTGATTAAATGTGATCATCATGAAATGTCGAATGTCTGAAACATTATTATGTAATAAAGGCTTACGATACAAAACACATGCCATTGTGGTGGAGTTGGCTACGAGCCCGACCTACTCAATGTTCGGGCACCAGTGCAAATTGTGGCATCCCAGGTGAAAACTGGGTGGAGGCCAAGGGTTCGTGGCGGCCCTCAGCCCCTGGCAGAATAAGGCTCTCCTGTCCACTCGGTAGTTTTTCGGTAGAACCTGGCGGTCAAGGCTTGAAGGGGCTGAGATCTGTCTTGGTATCGCCCCATCTTTATGTGCATCCCAACTCCGGCACTTCGTGTGTCCAAAGAAAGCACCTCGACATCATGTAGCTGTGGTTCACCCGTGGCAGACACGCAGGCCATCGACACAACTTGGGATCACATGAAAGGCTACTATATACATCCCAATAAATGAAACGACTTTAAGAACTAGATGTTTAAGGCAAGGAACTTGATAGCAATGGTCTCCACCCTAGTAGCGATGGTGCTGCATCCCATTTAAGTTGTCTTCCAGCAGGAAGTGGGCTCTCAATGAGACACTGCTTTATATGGCAATTCAATGGTTACACAAAATGTTGTGGCCGGTAGAAATTCCCTATGGGATGAGTCAGGCAACTCTGTGCAGAGCACATCCAAAAGATTGGGCTTCGGATGGTTGAAGAAGAGTGCTGGCTTCAAGCGCCGAAAGTGCCACACCTCTACAGGTGCCATAACCTGATGTTCCTGTCTTATCCCTGGCTGGCCTTCAAACTAACGGGACACCAACGACCACGACGGGACAACCAACGCAAGCGTGTCGCTCCTTTTTTTCCGCTTGCACGCAGCATCTTGGCCGTCCGAGACGGCACCTGCTACGAATCGGAAAATGGAGGCATCATGCCGTGCCACAAAATCCTGGTTGGACCCTGGTGACTGCACTCAGAATGTTCTTTGGACGAGTCGTTTGAGGCCAGGTGCTGCTGTAAATGTTTGAAAAGCCCTTTGTCTTGATGATGTGAGAGCATTCCTGATCATGCCTTCGCAAAAAAGCACATCAAAAGAAGTTCAAGCGTGAAACCCATCTCTGAGCTGCGGTTTTGGGGGGGAAGTCTTCTCCCTTTCAGGGAAAAAACAGCTCTTGGGCCAACTCCGGGAAATGTTCGCTAGGCTTCGCTGGACGTCGGGAGTTTGTCAAGGATGTCTTCAGCCTGTTGACGGTCTACGTAGGCACCTCCCTCCCCCCAACCATACGTTCGTTCGGCAACTCTATTGACAGGGCCCGAAGGTCGTGGGGGTTGGGTTCACCTCGTCGCCAGCCATGTGGCACCAGCCTCACCCGACCTCTTGAGGACTCAAAGCCAATCCAAGAATGGCTCCAAATTGAGCTCCATCGCTGAGGTTGGCATATTGATCTCGAAGCCTTTCTTACCTCGGCGAAGAAAGGAATTGACAGTTGACATGTCCTTGTCTTTCTTTTCTGCGCATCGCTTGGAGGGTCCCAGAAGGTCTCGAAGACTCAAGGTTGGTCAACTGATCACATCACTTGGAGCCAAGCTGCCCAAGACCTCTGGGTGTAGCTCGCCAATCACGCCAACCTTGATGCCCGAGCAAATGATGTGCGCCTGCATTCCGGGGAAGAAGGCCTCAGCGCAAGAAATGCCCGTAGAGACGACCGACCCAAAATGCGGCAGTTGAGGAGCTCAATACCAGTCTATAGTTTCTTATAGTTTCTTACAGCAGGGAGATGTAAACCCGTCGCGAACCTCTTCACCTCTCGAATGATATCTGTTGTTCGGACTGCATCAGTTCAGGTGACCAAGGGGTCGTTTATGAAAACGTGGAGTCCCGCATTCATAAGTAGAGGTACTCTGACTCTTGTGAGTGTTTTTGTCCCTTGGGCGATCGGGGGTCCCTTGCAATGGCCCAATGGGGCATCAGGTAAGACGGAGGTGAGTCTGCCCCACCCATTTTCAACTACCACCGTGTTTACCACCCTTTTCTTGTGTCACCGTGTTCTAACATGAGCGTTGAGCTGCAGGGTCAACCTTAGGAAGTTGGGTTTCTGGGGTGTCTGTAAGAAACGAGAAAAGGTGACGACGTGGTCAAGTTAGGACGGCCTCATGTGGGGCGTGCGGAGCCCTGACCAAAGAAGCCCAATTAGACATGTAAGTTCAACACTGAAGGCAGACTTTGAACATCTTTGAGCCAAAGACCATCTTTGCCCATCTTGGTTTTCGGAGTTGCTTTTCTTTTCTGTTCACGTGACATGCTTCGTGGATGCCATGGTTTTCACAGTCGATGAGATGATGGGTCATAGATCCTGGCGCTTTGCATCCTCCGGCCTGTCTTTAATGCCCAGTTGCAGGGTCGTCACTGGGCTCGAGCTTAAAGGTTCTTCGTTTGGAGCCTTCCTTCTGTTCGTGTTGAGGCTCACCTGCAAGAAAGCTGATCATACATTGATAGATTTTCTCATCACGCAAAGACCATACAAATCCTGACAGGGCACACCGTAGTGGGCATGACGGAAGCGAGACACACACACACACACACCATGTTACATTGAGTGATAGCACTGATAGCACCTTTGACAATGAACACGAAGTATAGAAATCTCCAGGGACTCTTGCTGCCCCAGTGGCAATTCAGTGAATACATCAGCTGGTCTAAGACTCCGTGCAACAAAGAGAATTGGCTGCGCATGTTGCAGTGCACGGCCACCAATCGTCGCACGTTCTTACCTCGTTGGATGGACATATGCAAGGCATCTTTCATGTTTCCACCAACGTTGCTCTTCCACGTAAAAAACATGATCTTCCCAAGCGTTGCTCAATGCTCAATGGAACATGGAAACCCAAAACGGCTCCTTGCTGTCGGCCCGTAAGTTCTGACTCTTTGCTGCTGTCCCAGCAAGCGTGTCTAGCAGTGTCTGGTGCCTTCGGCATCAAAAGACAGAAACCTCTGCCATTTATCACGTTCGGCATCTCGGTAGCTCCATGTAGCCCCTCACCCTCGCATCCTCGTGTCTCTTCGCGTCTTTCCCCGTCAGCCCTCGTCTCCGTCGTATCCCGACGACCCCCACCGGCTCCAACACGTGACCAGGTGGCAGCCCACTTCTCGCGTGGGCTCTTGGATCACCACGTCTCCAACTTCGAAGAGCCGGATCGGCGGTGGCAGTTGCCTCGGGCCGAACACCAGACCCGCACATGGCCTGGGATCGCTTGGGGGTTTGGAGGGAACAAGGAAGTCAACCCAAAAACACGTCAAATTTGTTTCTGTAAACCATCGAGACATCAAGACTGGAATATGAAAGGGATGGGCAAGCTTGCTATGGTGGCTAAAGGGAACATCCTTACAACATCTTACAACTACAACTTTTCTCACAATCCTGTTCAAACATATGTTGTCACACGTGGGGCCAAAACACGTGACTTGACCAATTGTCATGGAACAAACATCCCATATGGAAGTAATAGAACTCAAATTTGTGGTCCCCCCTTGGTATCATGACTAACCTCAGCTCAGGCCGAAGCGCATCAAGTCATCAAAGCTAGATATTCTTTCTCAATGCTGAATCGAGTCTTGTGAAACACTGCTCAGATCTGCTCAGTGAGTACAGCACTGCTCCAAAAGCAGTGCTAGCTGCACAAATCAATAAGTCTGATCTTCCTCGATGGTCCTTGTACGGGTGATCGGGTGATCGCAATTGCGAACACCGATCAAGGAGTCGAGCGCTTTATAACGACGCTCCGAACGACCAGAATGGCCTAGATATGAGGCGGACAAAACTTCTTCGTTCTCGCCCAAAAACGTGGGTTGGCCCGGTGGCCTTCTTTTTTGCTCTGGTAGTATAAGGACGCTACTAGGAGCAAAGGGCATCGCTACTAGGAGCAAGAAGCTACTAGGGGCTCCTGGCATCGCTACTAGGAGCAAGGACGCTAGTAGTATCAGGACGCTACTAGGAGCAAATGGGTTGGCCCGTTGGCCCCCTATTTTTTTTCTGCTATGTTTTGCTGGGCTGAATGATTTCAGATGTGCTTGTTGTGCAGCCCTTGCTAGAGTACATGATAGTACATTTGTAGAAGTTTTGTCAAATGCTCCACTGTACAGCCGAATAAAATTAGGCAACACTTTCTTGTTCAGGCGCCTCGGAGTCTGACCCGAGTCCTTGCTTGGCAAGTTGAACTTTAAAAAAGATGTGGCCAATCATTAAAAGGGGGCCAAGACGAAGCTTCGCATCTTCATCGATAGAACATCTCGGAGAAACGCTGCCAAAGACTTAGCCTCTTCCCAGAAGCATGGTTCTCTCCCAAGTGTCTGGCTTGACGTCGGTGTGCAAAGACACTTGGAGTAGTGTCTTGGGATCCGTGCGATGCCACACTGGGAATCGAAAATCTCAAGAATCCGGAGATCAACGATTTTCTGGCCACCGACTTCTTGCGCCGATCACTGGCGGGCGTGTCAGGTGTGTCATTCTCCGAGTCGCTGCTGGGTCTTTGGAATGGAACCACCGGGCTGAGATGAATGCGGTTTGGCTTCTTCTTCCTTTGCACGATTCCAAGGCCGGCCCCCATGGCAGTGTCAAAACCTCGTCACGTTGTTCGCCGACTCCCCTTGAGCCGAAGCATGGCCAGAGAAAGCAGCACTTAGACTTCCACATATCACACTGAATACATCGAGGGCCGCATGCTCCACAACAAAAACTGGTTGTAAAAGGTTTGGCTCGCAAGGTCTGCAGAATGCCTCAACACCAAGCGAGTGCCGATTATTGACGTCCCAGTGCATCATGCAGCTGTTCACGCATGTTCACGCTGAATGTTTCAACCGCACACCGCTGAGGTAGAAGAGGCTTGCTAAGAACTCAGCCACACCATCTCACCTGCAGCCCTGTCCTGAGGGCAGTCCATCGGGGGTTCCCCTTTTAATAATCCTCCCTCATGCCGCCAAGCTGGGCCAAGCTGCTTGTTGTTGGCGAGAGTCTTCAAAATCCCAGGGATCAGTGTGGTCCGAACAATCTCAAAACCAATGGTCCTCGCGGCCGTGCAGGGATGTTGGGAACAGCAAGCAAATAATCATAAATCTATCACAATCATTGCAGTGTCTCTTGTGGTCAATGAGTAACGCAACGAGACCAACGCACAAGGGCCAAGGAGCATCCTTAATGCATGAGGATCCAAGTCCAGCCTTGAAATATAATGCTTCCTCTAATCCAGTGATCCACCCGCCGAAGACCATGAACATCCCCATGGTCGCTGTTCAGAGCGAGTGGTTTAACAGCGTTTGAAACGTGGCATTCACGATCCTCAAGTGTTTCCATCTGAATCCACCAAAGCAGCTGGGCTTAGCCTTTTCCCTCTGCATTCGCTGGGCCGCCCTTCCCAACAGCCCTTCCCCTCACCGTCCCCGGTGCCCGTCTTGGGGTTCGAAACGGAGACGGAGGGAGAGGTGGCACTGTATTCCTTAGGCGAGCCGAATGGAGTGTTGTGAGTGAATAGGATGACCCGATTTGAGGGGAACAACGGGTTAGAGCAGCGATCGAGTCTAAAAACATCTTCAACACACAACACACATGTTTGTTGTTGTGTTTCTCTTGTTGGCCTTTTATGTTATTAAAATAGAAGAAGTTTTTCTTTGGAGACCCCCCATGATTTCGGAACAAATCCCGTAATATTGTAGAGGGTCCATGCACCATTTAAATCATACCTCATCTGGAAACCAGAATACTTGTAAACTTGTTTGATTATATTATATGTTCTATCATGTTCTCATTTGGTCTTGGGCTTTGCTTCTCCGACAAACTCCACATGTGACAGCGAGACAGTGAAGAACCGTTTCAGACAGTCCAGAAGCAACGTCTGTGCAGCCTGGGTGTGCCCGACCAACTGAAAAAGACTTTCCGCCCAAAACTGGAGCGTGCTCCATCAGAGCTGAACGCGTCCAAGTCGAACGAGTCGAACACGTTCAAACGGCCCGAAGGCATGTCTTAGCATGTCGAAAAGCTCTGAGTGTTGCCTGCCCGGCCCTACTGCTTGAAATGACTTGGAAAAGTCCCAACATCCTTTTGATGCAAAACCGAGGCTTCATGCGGCTTCTCCACCGTGAGTTGAGCTCCCTTTGGGTCTGCCTCCCGTCGCATGCAGGCAAAGTTTTCCTGCAGCTTCGCTTCGGCCAAGAAAAGAAACACGCGGCTTCACCACACAGGTCAGGTGTGCCAGGAAGCGGGGACATCGCTTTCAAGAGTCCCAAAAAAAACGTTCAAACCCAAATGTCCAAACATGTTTGAAGAGATTTGGCGCCTTGAGCCAACAACTCGTGCAGTGGCGGTCCTTTCTGGGGTTTGTGCGACAGGAATGCCAAAGCTCATCGCGACACAAAACCTGCTTCCACTGTCCTTCTGAGACAGCAGCGACCAATTCATGCATTCGGTGAACCCAGCCATCGCCAGCTCTTGCCGAACCATGTCCGACAAGTTGTTCACCGGCTGCCCGCCAGACCTGATGCTGGGGGTGTTTTTTCGGGGCCAAGCCACGGTTAACGCAGGTGCGGAGAAGCTTCCTGTTCCTAGTAGCGATGCACTTGTTATATACTAGTAAGGCACTTGTTACTAGTAGCGATGCACTTGTTACGGGTAGCTTCTTGTTACTACTAGTAAGGCACTTGTTACTAGAAGCGAAATCATAGCCAATAGGGCGGTCTGGTGTCTTATGGTTCGCCAATTTCGATGCTCCAGCGGAGCATCTGGACAGTTTTCTCTATGATGGAGCTTTTCTATGCACCAAGGGGGACATCTCCAGTCTCCCTCGGACAATCCTTAAACATTTTCAACATATCCCATAATGCGAGAAGCCGGCGGCCAAATCCATCTTGATAGCAAGCCCAAGCTCTGATGCTAAGGCCCCCCACACTGCCACAGTCTGAGGAACACTGGTCTCCAAGTTGTTATAGCCATATGAGATGGCTAAATCCTCGATGAGATCACCTCAAAACCCAGGTCCAACATCCCTCAAACGCAACTCAATCGGAAATGGTCAGAGCCTTCAACATCCAACGACAACCAACCCTGGGTCGTCGCCCCAATGCTATCCTATGCTCACCAAAGGGGGTGTTTTGGACCTGAAATGGCGTCTGTTTAACTTTCCGGGCGCAGTTGGTCACTGTGACCAAATGAGAGCAGTTTAGAATCCGGCACTATCGAGAAACACCTGCTTCCACTAAGAGGATCCTGATTCAATCCTTGCCGCATAGTGGCATTCGTGCATGAGGTCACTGCGGGTCACCGGAACCTGCGACAGTCTGTGGTGAAGGTCGGGTCCCGTCGGGTCTGACGGAACAGACGAATCCAGTGTGGCTCGACCTTGACCGGTGGTGTGAAGCCTTAAGGAGTGAAATGCCACCCCAAGGTTGGAAAGGCGCACTCAACATCGTGCCCACCAACTCCCCACAGTCATTCCAAAATGGGTGTTCCAATCAAGAGTAGCACAAAGGCCTCTGAGCATCTCTGAGCCCTTCTTGTTTGAAGTAACCCGATGGATCCTGGATGGATCGCGATGGCCTGAACCTTCAACAGCTCTTTGTCCTTGCTGTCCACCTCACACGGCAAGCCTCAGTTCGCAACGGCGATCCTGCCAACCTCTTCCGAACCCCCCCCCCCCCCCCCCAACGGTGCTCGGTCCAACCCCCCTTCGGTCTTCGCGTCCGGCCGCTCCCGGCGTCGAAACCGGTCCAACCGAGTGGCTCATCTTCCGCAGGTAGTCTCGCACCTCCTCGCCGCTGAGCTTCTCAAGGCCCAGGGCTTGCTTCATCCGAGCGAGGTTCGCGGTCATCTCTCGGGGCTCGAGCATGGGGTAGATCTTCTTGTCTCCTCGGACAGTCTGTCTGGCCAGATCCAAACAAACACACACAGATATATATATATATATATAACCATATATATATATACACAGATTATTACAGTATATTTAAGCATATCAACTAGCATAACAGTATACAAAGGTTCTGACTTCAGCTTACACTTTCGCATGAAACGTGCTTGATGTTTGCATTGTCGATGGCCATTCATCTCACGAGGGCCCTTGAGTACCGGTAGTTGCGCTACGACCTTCAGGTTTGCAGAAAAATCCAGGTGTCAGACTTCGTTTGCTGATCACTGTCGAGTTTAGATTGGTAGCGGAGCAGGCGACGCTCCAGATAGTCGGCTCCTACGGTGACCTTTTTGTTTGCCGAGATCTTTTAGATCCCCGTGAAAGTTGAGGGTAAGTTCATTGCCTTTGACCCATGTCGGGTATGGAGAGGAGTCCGAGGCGAACACCTGTTCGTCGTGCCAGGACAACGGTGCCTGGACCTTCAGATGGTGGTGGAAGAGGACCTGGTGTTCTTTTCGCCAATGTCGAAAGAGATGAGCCCGCCATTCAGTTGCCCTTCACTCCTCAGCATGGCCGAGGACTTGATTCAGGATTGGCAAAGGCATGTCCATCCTCAGAGAATTTGACCTAAGACCTATCGAAGTTTTCGGAGACGCTTAGAGCTGTTCAAGAAGCAGTGCGATCGTCGAGGACGAGACACAGCGGTGGAAGGCGCATTCCTTGTCATAAGTCGCCTTCATGATGTTGCCTGGGATGCCACAGAGCAGTTGAGTTTTGATGAAGTTGAGGCGGCAACAGATCCTTTCAAATTGGTTTTTTCGTTTGCTTGACGAGCTCTACCAGTATGAGGATCTCATTGAGGTTCCCTCGCGCTGTGATGAATTCTTCTCCGACTTCAGTCGCAAGAAAGGAGAAGAGCTACAGGCCTACTTGATTCGGCACAGGACACTTTTGAAGCGCATGCGAGAAGTGAATGTCGAGGTTCCACCTTTACTTTCTGGTTGGCACCTTCTCACCAGAGCTGGAGTTCCAAGATGGACCCACGTCCAGATCAAGGCCATGTGTTCCGGTGATCTTGAGTATGAGAAGGTTGGCAAGGCCTTGATTCGCATGTTTGGTGGTGACCATGTGCCGAATGCTCGTGACCTGGGTGCTCGATCCACTACGTCTTCGAAGGAGGAGGTCTATGTGGAGGAAGAAGATGAATGGTATGATGATGCAGATGGTTATGCCAATGATGGAGATTGGTATGACGATGAGGCCTTCGAAGCAGATGAGTATGAAGAAGATGAAGAGCCCATTCCAGAAGAGCTTGAAGAAGCTATGGAGTTGACCGATGAGGCCTATGTCTCCTACATTGAAAGCAGAAAACGGATGAAAGAATTGGCTCTATCCAGAGGTTTCTATCCAGTGGTTGCTCTTGGACCAGACTATGATCGTGCTGGCGGACGACCTCCCAAAGGTGAAGGAAAAGGAGGAAAAGGAAAAGGCAAGTCTGGCGGAAAGGGCAAGAGCAAAGGAAAAGGGAAAGGAGGTGGTTTCATGAGGAGAACACCTTTTCATCGACGCCCTATGTCAGGACTGAGGCGACCTCCTTCGAGCCCATCTACGACAACCAGCATTGGCGACAAGTCAACATTGACTGGTTCCACATCACAACATGGGCCCAGATTCAAGCGGTATAGAAGTCAAGCCGCTGGAGTGAAGGAAGTGCCCGAGGAGATCACCATGGTGGAAGAAACAAATGTGACAGAAACAACAGAGGTTGCGACCTACGAACAAGTGACCGATGAGCAGTGCTTCTTCGCAGTGGCCGAACGAGGCAAAGCAATTGTGGACAGTGGTGCAACTCGCACCATTGTTGGTGAAGAGAATTGGCATCGATGGTTGGAAGCATATGGCAATGACCAGACAAAGCCAGTGATTTTGCAGAACAAGGTGAGACACTTCAAGTTTGGAGGAGGAGAGACACTTCGTTCAGACTATGAGGTGGAGTTCACTGCCATTGTTCATGGTCAAGCATTGCCTGTGACAGCTTCAGTTGTCCCGGGAAGCACGCCATTTCTACTTGCTCGTCCCACGCTGGAGCAATGGGGAGTGGTGCATGACTACAAGGAGAACCGAATGAAGATTGGAGATTCTGATTGGATCACTCCCGAAAGAAATGAGCGTGGACACTTCATCCTAGACCTCATGATGTACGAAGACACCTACCACATTGAGGAGATTTACTACCAGATGGATGAAGGTGAGCAGTTGGGAGTTGACGATGATGCAAAGCTCCTAGAAGAAGGACCTTTTGATGCTTGGGACATTGAACCATCGATGGAGGTGGACGTCAGTGACAAAGACAAGATGAAAGAGACTGAAGAGGTCATGATGGCAGATGACTTGGCAGAGCGGATTGCTGAGAGACTACGCTCTGAAAAGAAGCTCAAGTTCTTCGAGGTCTACGTGGACAAAGGAAACTTGGCAGTTCATCTTGCCAAGAAGAATCCTGATGTTGAGTCATCAACGTTTTCCTTGCCAGAGTGGGACTTTAGCCAGAAGGCCGTGCGAGAAGAGTTTGTGTCCCTGTTGAGAGAAGTTTCCCCAGATTTTGTCTGGATCGCACCGCCATGCAAGAAGTGGTCATCAATGCAAAGACTCAACAGGAGAACTTTGAAGCAGAGAAAAGAACTCGAAGAACGAAGAAATGAAGAAGAACATCCCCATTTGTCATTGGTTGAGGATGTGGCAACTGTTTGCAAAGAAATTGATAGCGACTACGCTATGGAACATCCTCATGGTGCAGAGTCTTGGGATACGGAAACTTTGCAGAGCATGCGTGGCTACTTCGAAGGCATCTGCAACAGGTGTCGAACTGGTCTTTACTACAAAGATGAGCATCAACAAGGACCTGTACGCAAACAGACACGGGTTCGTACCAGCTCAAGAGAAGTAGCAGAAGCCTTGAATCTTCCCTGCACTTGCACCAAGCCTCATGTACAAATGGATGGCAAAAGCAGAGCGCTCCATGACATGCAGAACTATGAGGCCAAGTTCACGCAGATTGCAGGAAAAGCCACTTACAAGGTGATGGATGACAATTGGATGAAGAAAGAGATAGCCAAGATCCTGGTTGCTGAAGAGACTGAGGAAGAGAAGAAGACCAAGAAGGTAACGGATGAGGAGATGAAAAGATCTAAGACTCAAAAGAGTGCTGCCCTGTCAATTGTGGCAAAGCTGCATCGACAACTCGGTCATCCCGGACGAGATCGTTTGTTGGTGGCATTGAGAGAGTCCGGCATGAATGAAGAGATCATTGAGGCCGCCAAAGGTTACACATGCGACGTTTGCCAGAATTTCATCAACAAGAAGCCAGCCAAGCCCTCCTCACTGCCTCAAGCACAGAAGTTCAACGAGCTGCTCGAAATGGATGTTTTCCATATCAAGTGGGACGACAAGAAACTCAAAGTCCTTGCCATCATTGATGTCTTTTCCGCTATGAGATGAACGCAGCTGTAGAGGCAGAGACGGAAAAGGCTGAACTCAGCGTGCTGGATTCCTGGATTAATGTCTTTGGCTGCCCTCAGAAGATCAAGACGGATGCTTCGGCCTTCCTGAACTACATGGATGACAGGAACATCAAGTTGATCCTGGTGCCTAAAGACGCTCACTACAAGATGGGAATCGTGGAACGCTTGCATGCCGTGAGACGTATGCAACTCCTAAAGATGAAGATGGAGAAACCCACATTGAGTTTGGATGTGGCAGCCCCTATAGCATGTTCCATGAGGAATCAGCTTCGATCGATCCACGGCTCGTCCCCATCACAGGTTGTCTTTGGCACAAATGCTCAAGAAGCAGGTTTGATGGACGAACCGGTCATCAATACTGCAGATCCATCCAAGCGACATCAAGAAGTCCGAGAACTACGAGTCGCTGCAGCCAAATCCTTCTATGAGGCTAATTACAGTCACACCTTGAGGAAAGCACTTTTGAGCCAGAGTCGAGCCGTTGTTCCTCAGTATTTTCCTGGAGAATGGGTGTACTACTGGCGTGAAGGTGATTCAAAGCTTGAGGTCAGTCGATGGCGTGGCCCAGCATTGGTTTGCAGTTCACAACCCCGTGATGCCGACGAAGCTGGACCAAGACCTGACGTCTACTAGTTGGCTCACGGAACTTCTTTGCTTCGAGTCAGCCATACTTCTTTGAGACCTGAAGCACCACGTGAACGTCAGGCTCGCTTGCAATATCTCCCAGACAGCTCGAGTCCGAGATGTGCAGGCTACCGTTCGCGCTGCCTTGCATCCTGTCCGAGGTCCTGTTCGTTTTCTCGACCTCTTGGGGGACCCACCTTTTTCTGACGCAAAAGACGAGCCTGAGACAGAATCAAAGCCAGATGATCCCATGAATAGTTCCCAGGAGCCAGATGAAAACAAAGATCAGGTTGAAGAAGCAATCCAGGTTTCAGGAACAGCCACCGCAGAAACACAACAGCTGCAGCCACATGAACCACAGCCCCAGCAGGTCGGAACAGAACCACACGCGGCTGCAGAAGCAAGAGCACAAACCAATCCTGATCCTGAGGACACAGAGATGACAACTATGAGGAAGAGAGAGCATCCTGTGAATGCTGATGAAGAAAGACCTTCACAACTGGCCAAGACGACAGCCGGAGACGACAGATCGGGTGCTAATGAACCTTCAGAGAGCGCTCGTTCCAGAAGTCCACTTCCGCATGATGAGAGAAACGTTGCCTTTCAGTCATACAACATGTCAAGGCAGTTGGACGGTCTCCCTCCAGTTCGTGAAGATGACCCAGCCTTTCAGAGGTTTATGGATGCAACCGATCCTTTGACTCCAGATGAAGCTTTGGTTGCAGAAACCTTCGATGAGCGAAAGCTGAGTCCTGATGACAAGAAAGCATTTGACAAGGCGAAGGATGCTGCTTTGATGGTGTGGATTGAGAACAAGGCTTGGAAAGCTGTCGATGAATCTGAAGCTGGTGATGGGGAGGTAGTTCCTGCCCGATTTCTTCAGCGTTGGAAGCCCACAGCAGATGGTCAGGTGGCCAACGCAAGAGTCATCCTGCAAGGCTTCAGGCACGTTGACGTCCTCAGTGAAAACCTTGTTCGTGAATCACCAACACTCAGCAGATTGGGCCGTATGACAATTCTGGTTTGGGCAGTGCATCGTGGTTGGAAAGTCTGGTGTGCAGACATCAAGTCAGCCTTCATGCAAGCAGATTCCATTGACGAATCCACAAGGATCTTTGTGAAGCCAACCTCAGATATGAGGAGAAGACTTGAGCGTTTGATGGGACTTCAACAGCATCAGATCCTGAAGGCTACAAAGCCAGCTTTTGGAGACGTCCGAGCTCCACGTCAATGGTTCGACACAGCCGACTCCTACCTGGTCAACAATCTGAAGCTTGTGAGTCATCCCCTTGATCGTTGCCTGTACATGTCCTTGAGAAAGGCCACCCAGGATGATGAGCCCTTCCTAACCTTTGAGATGAGCAACGACTGGTGGATTGTTGACGGAGTGGTTGGATTGCATGTTGATGATTTCATTGGCGCTGGCGAACAAATCAATGCCCTACAAGACATCCAGAAGACATCCAGAATGACCCTGCAGGTGAGTGTGATTGTTTTCAGCATCGCATGCATCATTTGTCCACACGGTTCCGGTTCGGAAGTTGGGACTTTGGAGACAAGATGCGTTTCTGTGGTGCAGAGGTGAAACAGACAGCAGACCATGAGACTGTGACGATTTCTCTCCAGCAGTATGTGAACAAGATCAAGCCTTTGAGTTTGGAGAAAACGAGAAAAGTCATGGTTGAAGACTACTGCACGGAAAAGGAACACAAGCAGCTTCGAGCGTTGGTTGGGGCTATGTCTTGGCCGGTGACTCAATGCTTGCCACAAGCATCGGCTACCATCAGTCTTCTTCAGGCCAACATCAACAAGCCCATGGTGAAAGATATGTTGGAAGCCAATAAGTGCTTGAGGTTCCTGAAAGAAGTCGTCAAGAGCTATGTCTTCACCTTGCGCAAGCATTGTCCCTTGGATCAATTGAGGATTAGCTTGTATTGCGACGCTGCTTGGTCCGTGAGGCCAGATGGGAGCTCACAAGGTGGCATGTTGATGTTCCTTTCAAGCCAAGCAGAGTTGGAGTCAGGCGAGCCCTTCCCTTTGACCATTCTGGATTGGTCAAGCAAAAAGTTGGTTCGCATGTGCCGGAGTTCATTGTCTGCCGAAGCGCAATCTGCAACGATTGCCGTGGACGAGCTGGAGTGGTCAAAAGTGTTTTTTGCTGCAATGGTGAACCCCTATGTTCCTATCCAAGATGATGCAACCATGCACAAGTTTGGGGGTTCCGCAGTGATCACTGACGCCAAAGCCCTTTTTGACAGCACAACAGCAGTCACTTCTGGTTTGAAGCTTTCAGAACGTCGAACTGCCATAGAGATTTGCATTTTGAGAGAGAGACTTGAAGCTTCGTTGTCGAAAGTCAAATGGTGCAATTCCCTACAGCAATTGGCCGACGGCCTGACCAAAGGTGCAGCGAAGGACCATTTAGCCCATGTCCTTTCTCGTGGTGTGCACTCCCTCAAGTTCGACCCGGGCTTCGTGGCTGCAAAGAAGGTGACTCATGAGGCTCGCTGGCAAGAAGAGAAAGAGCTAGAGAAAGCAGCTGAGAACCTGTTTGATGGACAAGTCTTTTTCACAGAAGATGCCAAAGAGAAGGAAGCAGCAGGATTGTGTCGTTTGCCGGGATGCAAGAAGGAAGTTGATAAGACAAGTGCCCGACATGCTTTCTGCTCGAGAAGACATTTTTACCTTCACCAGTTTCGCTTGGGCCGAAGTGGAGACGAGTGGCAGAAGGCTGCAGTGTGTGCCATGTCCATTTTGGCCGCAGAGAACATGGAGGTAGCAGAAGCCGCAAACGACATGGAGAATGAAGGAGAAACCCAGTTTTTGAACGCCTTTGCTGTCATCATCCTTTTTGCGGTGATTGGTGCATTCAGTTCATTTTGGGTTTTGAAAGACGTCTTTGTCATGATCACCCAGAAGGTCAAGACCTTTGCGATTTTCGCATATGTCAAGATTTGTGAGAATAAGCAGGTGATTGAGAATTTGGACGAACCATCCGTAGGTTTGAGCCATGGCGCGAATGAGAATGACGACATGACTGAGAATGAGGAGACCTCAGAAGAAAATGAGGGCATCATTGAATGCTCCACCGGAGAACAAGCTCGATGGAAGAGACTCTACGAGGAGGTCCTTGAAGAGAAGGGTCAAAAGAAATGGAATGAGCTCATGAAGATGCTCTGGACAGAGAAGGTGACACCTTCTATGCGCGGTCATGTCGTGGAACACGTCATACCGACGGTGCGCCGGCGACTCTTTCTGGAGTTGAATTTGAGGAATGGAAGTGAAAGCGCAACAGACCTTCAGGTCAAGCAGTGGCATCGTTTTTTGAACGACCAGCTCTCCATGATCCTGGAAATTCACATGGATGTGAGAAGGAAAGACCTGAAGATTGCCGAATTGACACATATGCTCCAGACTTCTCCAACCTCCGTGACACGAGCTCACAGCCCTTGTGATCCTCACTCTGAAGAGAAAGAACGCTTTCGAAGAGGTGAGATTCAAGATCGCATGCAGCAGACGCAGATTCACTACGATCACGAAACGAACCAAATGAGTCTGCTAGGGCGAGGTGTTGAAGGAGCGTTTAGCTTTGTGAGTGTTTACGAAGATGCACTTCGAAGCTAGAGGGCCGAACTTTTGAATGTTTTTCGCTGGTTGGATCGTTGAGCACACCCTTTTACAATTCTTCATTTAGATGCTCCACCGGTCTGACTTCAGCTTACACTTTCGCATGAAACGTGCTTGATGTTTGCATTGTCGATGGCCATTCATCTCACGAGGGCCCTTGAGTACCGGTAGTTGCGCTACGACCTTCAGGTTTGCAGAAAAACCCAGGTGTCAGACTTCGTTTGCTGATCACTGTCGAGTTTAGAAAGGTGTCATACTCTTACATACTCTTGCCTCCTTGTCACTGGGCAGGATGAATCGTCTTGTCGGACTATGAACGGTATCTTTTCCAGGCCACTCCGTGCAACACCAGGTCTATGAGTCTTTTGGATCTACTCCCATGGACAAAAATCTGAACTGGGACAATCGAATGGATAATAGTGATAATAGTGGCAAATCATATCGCACATATCACACCTGGGTCGCTCCATGTAGGACCAGTACTATGGGTGTTGGAAAGGTGTTCCTATATTCTGTTGAGTACCAACATGTTCCTGGCTGGGGCCCTGGATGGCCCTGGCACTTGGTCAAACCCCCTCCTGGCTTGATGAAGGTATTTCCTGGATAGTCATCTGCATAGACGACTTCCACCGGCTCTGCAATGAAGGGTTCCTTGCAGTACCTGGGTGCACGATGCTCCACCATGCAGGGCTAGGGATGGCTAGGGCAAGGTCTCAGAACATCTTGGAATATGGATCACGGGCAACCGACCAAATCGCGTTATATGAGTGAATAGCAACATTTTAAGCAATCATAAGTCAATAGTCACTACGAAACTTCACTGTTAGTGTATGTTAGTGTAAGGTATACTGATGTACTGAACATGCCTGAGTCAGTCCCAAAAAAAAACATGCACGGTCCATGACGGCGAAGTGGATCTCGCCGTCCCTCGGTCGGTCCGACTCCAGTTCCCTTCCGACCCAGTGACTCCGCAAACATGGTCACCACGGTGTTGAGCACCACGTTGGCCTTCGTGAGGTCAGTGGCAGTACATTCCTTGGTCCGACTCATTGGGGATATCATGAGAAGCCAGAAACTGAGCGTTTCTTTTATGTGGAGAAGTGGTGGTGTATAGCTGTGACATGACATTGCGGGCTAAGCTGCTGCCAGGTGTGACATGAATGAAAACGCGGAGGCACCAGAAACGGATAAAAATCAAAAGCGTGTTCTGCTCTGCATGAAGAGTCGATGAAGACATCTTTGGTTTCCAGTTTAATCTTCGAATGCTCTCCGTTGATGATGGGGGGCAAGGACAGCACCACTCGGTTGCTGTCGTAGATCACCGGGTAGACCGGGCTGTCACGGATGATGGGCAAATAGGTCTTCAGCTGCTGGTGTGCTGACAGGACCTCCATCATCCGGTTGCCATCCATCCTGAGATTCCAACCATGCGCGCGGGCCATGTCTGGTGGCCAAACCCTGTGTTGAGCTGGTTTGGACAAATCATCATTGACAGACTCATGCACTAGTAGTGCAATCTCGTCGTAACGACGGAGGTGAATGAACTTGTTCAGGTGACATTGCATTCACTTGGCCCAACGTCAGTGCAACATAGTGCAACTCTATATTATAGAACATGACACTCCCTTTTTTCAGCACTTTAAGCCCAACTCCATTCTTATGCAGATTAAGATACTGGTAGATTAAGATAGATTAAGTAGGTATGGTCCAGTCTTGAAACAGTGACCAGTGACTTTTGCTTCACCATGCTTTACCATGGGCCGTCGCAAGCACCGCCGCTATCCTGGTGACCGTCCCATCACTCACCGAGACTCTCTTCCGTCTGGTTCAAAGGAGTGAAGAGGATCTCCTTGGGCGGCAGCGCTTCGTAGGTGAAGGGCGGCTTCAACGTGGAGAGGTCGTGAGTCCCAATGGCCACCTGAGGTGAGGAGAGGAAAAGCGAGCGGAAGCGAGGTCCTGAGAGGTCCGACCTCATCGACCTCCGTCGCCACCTTGAAACATGAGGCAAGAATTACCACAAAGGCTCATGTCACATGTCTGTCGTTCCCCCCCGGCCATCCATCCACGTTTCATCCACCGGTCGCCCAGTCGCCAAGGTCCGGCGTCTGCAGATGTTTTGATGCAACTTGTCCTGGAGCTCGATGAAGCTCTCCTCGGCAAGGATGCTGCTAGGGGCTCCTGGCCATACTACTAGGAGCAAGGACACTATTAGGAGCAAAGGGCATCTAAAAGAACGGAGCTGCCGCTCTTCGGGTCTCGGACGCTCATCGCTGACGCTCTTCTTCGGCCGAAGGGGCGTAGCGATCCTGGTCAAAGGTCACATTCCGCAAGATCGCGCACACCACGAAGGGACGAATCTGTGCAGTCTCTTTCTTCACGGTCATCGTCATCCTTAGAGGGTGAATCGGGACAACGACCGGTGTGGCCGTGTGGCCGACTTCGTCACCGGAAGATTCTCGATGCTCAGCTCCCAATCCGGAGCTCATGGTCCAATTACCCTACCTCCTACATCACACATCATCTTATCCACCAGTCCAGCATGGAGGAAGACAGAGTGCCACTGGTGGCGGACCAAGCATCTGCGGTACCGGCTTGGGTGAAGAGAGCTTGTAGAGCGGCGCTGGGATGACGCCCTTGAAGATCTGGAGTGCTCGGACTAAGCCCTCGATGCACAGCAGGTCGTAGCCTCGGAAGGGCGAGGCCCCCGCGAACAGCGCAGATCTTTGGGCGTCTTGGATTAAGTGTCATATGGAACAACAAGCAACACAACACCTATGATGCCAGCACATTGTAGGTCAGTTGTCAGTGTCAGTTACTGGTGGCCTTTTGGAAACGATTCTCTCATATCTGATGGGTGTGTGATCACGATGTTATTATAGATTAAGGCAAAATGAATGCAACCAACTGTCCAGCCTTTCTGTACAACCCCATTAGGGCCGCCTGCCAGGCCAGGGTCTGCCTGTCACTTCTCAAGCCAGCCAAGCTACGATTGGCTGGGACATCCACTTTGAAGATGACACGGTCCTCAGGCGGTGCGCACATTTCTGTGGATGATTGAGGCATATTGGGACGATCATCATGGCCCGCAAGGTTGGAACATGTTGCAGCTACAGTCGCACCTAGACCTAGACCTTCGAGCTCTTTCTCTCGTGGTTTGTTCCACAAAGACATCGGACATGTGGGCCACATATGGCAACATAGGCGTAAGAGTAGGGAAATCAGCGTAAGTTGAATCAGGAAAAAAAACATGGGATGGGCATGACTACTTAGGAGTTTTCAAAGTGAGCAAAAGCCCGCAAGACTAGGTACCCTACACGAAGCCGCCGCCTCTTTCAGTCGAAAATCCACCAAAATCGTGTGGTTCAAAGATGCTCAAAGGGTCATGTACACCATCGAAGAAAGCAAACCACAAACAGCCAGGTCATCTATGAATCTATGTACGAACACCTCCATCGCAAGCCACATCATGAAGTTCGAGTTTCGTGTAATTAGCTTCGTATTGAAGCAGAAAAACACCATTTGTCGGTGTGTTTGCTTGTCTTCATTTCTTTGGACCTTTCGCTCTTTGACCTCTCCTATCTTTCCCTTTTCTTTCTTTCTGTCTTTCTGTTCTTTTCTTTTCTTTTCTTTTTTCTTTTCTTTTCTTTTCCTTCCTTCCTTCCTTTCTTTCTTTCTTTCTCTCTCTCTCTCTCCCATCACATAAACCATCACCGTGCCGAGCCAAGATTCACTTAAGCCTTCAGCTGCTTGAGTCCCTCGCTCCTTCTCCACCTCACGTCACAAGCCGTTGTTCTTACCCTGCTTTAATAACCGGAAACATCAAGAGCTGGGGTAGATTCCAGTCCTAAAGCACAGTGTTCGGTGTTCACATCGGAATCTAGATGGCACAGTGAACGCGACGAATTTAGAATCGGTGCATAGTTCAGTGCAGCTTTCATCTCGAAAGCGACGTGAATGTCGAAGGCAGGCGGCCATGGCTTTCTGCGAGGTGACATCATCCAACTCCAAGCCGAACTCGAAGCAAAGCCTTGCGTGGAAGGACGAAATCTGGACTGAGAGTCAGGATCCGGTAGTGACAGCAACATGTCCATCAGTTAATCAGTTCTTTCCGTGGATGCACTAGTGATGAGTGGGTGCTTTTGCACTCAGTTAGGTGAACACAAAGCTCCACGCACGCACAGCTCTTACGTTTCTTGCGGCATCCGCAAAGCCCTTGCTTTGCGGATAGCCTTTTGAGGACCGGCGGACCGGCCACCGATAGTGAGAACCCGATTTCACCCACCATGCCAGGGCACTCGTCAAAACTCTCCTCCGTCACATCAGTGCCCAGGGCCTTCTGGAGGGAATCGAAGAAGACACCTCGCCCGACACCCTTGAGACCTCGCCCTTCATCTCAATCACCCCAAACATTCTGCAGATTCTTGCTCCAAACATTCTGCAAAAGGATGTTGAGCAAAGGTCGCCAAACATCCAGAAACCATGAATAAAGAACTCACTGCCTACGCTGCCCCTGAGCGCATGGCTTACGGTCGGCATCCTCGTGCACCCCGCAACCCCGAGGGCTGCGCACTTGGGCCAGAGCGCAGGCCAGCGGACCAAATTTCAACGCTACGAACTGGAGGCATCCGAGGGGCAAGCTTCTAAGAAAACCTTGGTGGAGGAACCACGGAGGGGTCCCAGAAAGCATCATTTAATCCCGTCTTTTGGTGCAAGTGGAGGCAATCCAGTATGACCAAAGCAACACTAGCTCTCGTACGTAACATGTAGATCCTGGTGTATATAGCACCGTCGCACAGTGAAGCACCAAAAGAAGCACAGCAAAATTGAGTCAAACAGATTTCACGGGATTCTCAGGACCAGTCCTGCAAACGCGGCCGCCCCGCAGCTGGTTCGACAGGAAACATGTGAGTCCTAGTCTTCCTTCCGAATATCAAAGCCAGAAACTTATGTTTGTCACACTTGCCTCTACTACACATCAAACAATACCAACTTGATACTTCTGTGCCGAGCGTCAAGCCAAAATAAATTTCAACATCAAGTCTACGCTTTTGGTTTAGAGAATGTTAGCCTCTAATTTCGCTTACTAGTAGCCAGGACGCTACTAGGGTGGAGGCCATCGCTACTAGGGGCAAGGGTGCTACTTAAATGGAAAACCACCCGTAGCCTTCTGTCTCATGGGATTTACATGGTCATGTCCTCACAGCCTGGGGGTGTCCTCACAGCGCGCGTACACAAGGGGGTGTCCGCCGAAAACCTCTTCTTCACTCCCGAACGGAAGAAATCTAGGGTGAAACAGTGAAACTCTAAACATCTCTAAACATCTCTAAACACATGGAGCGTTCTTGCTCCTAGTAGTACGGCCAGGAGCTCTAGTAGCGTCCGTTTGTAGCGATGCCCTTTGCTCATGGTGAGACATAGGTGTCTTCTCTTCTCTTCGCCCCGTCTGACGACGCCAAGTATATAAGTCTGACGCTTTCTTGGTCAGTGAGAAGCTCCTGTCGCTACGCTCATGTGACGACACAGGAATGAGATTTGCGACGTTCACCTGCGAGCAATGCACGGTTTGCATCCGCCACGTGTTCATTGTGACATCTCACTTGCCAACGCAAACTTGCAATGGCACCAGCAGCCGCCGCCGAGAGGGAAAGAACCAGCTCTGTAGGCTCAAAAAAGGAGGGGAGGAGACCCAGCACGTGGTGGGAGAAAATGCCCGCGGCTGAACCAATCATGAGGCTGGGAAAGAGGTTGACTTCTTCACGGCCTGGTTCCTTGGCCAAGAGTTTGGCCAACAATGGATCCATCCTCACGCTTCTCCTGAGATTACCCACCTTGAGCTCCAGCTCCTTTTCCGATCGGCATGTCATAAAGAGATGCTGATGCCGTGCCATGATGATCATGATCAGATGCCTGAGTGGGCCACGTGGATCATTCGGAACCACCGTGCCCACCGGAAGCACCAGGCGATGCAGGAGACGCACATGCCATTCAAAGGCTTGTATTTCTGGAGTGTGGGCTTCGGTCAGAAGGGTTGAGAGCAAATGCCTTACAATATCCATGAAGATCTCTTTTCCACCCTTGAAGCGTTGGAAGATCTGGAACAGGTCTGGCCATTGGTACTCTGTGGTGTCCCACACCTTCTGAGCATCCAGCATGATTTTCTCCCTCCTTCGAGTCCAGTCATGTTCGAAATAATCTTTGAGGTGGTACCGGTCATAGAGCAAGGCCAAGAGCTTGAAGGTATGCCTCTCATTGCCCAAAACAGCCATCAGTTGCCCTGCCAGGCCTGCAATCACCACATTGAAGCCCACACGCGGCCTCCAGGCTGCAAAGGCTTTCAAGGCCAGGACCAGCTTCACCCGGCCTTGCTGCTGACTGTAGGATGGAATGGCGGGCAGCTTCAATCGCTGCGTCTCGTCATACACGGCCTTCCGATTCTTCTCATGCATCTTTCGCCCAACGCCCACGACTTTCGTTGGCTTCACATCCAGCGCCGCCTCCAACTCCCACGTCACGGTCTGCGGCACCGTATCTACCGCTCGGAGCACCCACTCGGAGAAGGTGACGGGGGAATCGTTGCAGAGAGATTGCCAGAGGGCGTTGTATTCCTCGCACAGCCTGGGGCCTTGCCATTGTACATTCACCTGTTGCTCCCTGCTATGTTGGGAGTGGTCTTTCATGGCGGTAAACCGCCCTGGCTCCGCGGGCATGGCCGATCAAATGATCGAGAAGCACCGAGGCCCGACAGAGGTGCCGAGGACGACTTTTGGGGCAATCTGTCGTGCTGCTTGTGCGCAAGCATCCTTCCTGAGATTCTCGCATATTCTCGCAACATGTATGCTCTATATACTTGGGGTACCGTGCTTGGATCCGCACGCATGTATTTCACTTACAATTCTGCCCGATGCTGTGAGCCTCACACTCCTTGCTGCTTGGTCACCACTGCCGACTGCCCACCCCCAAAACAAGAAAGGCAGCCGAGGCACAATGCGTCAACAAGCCAATCACCAAGATCCTACACTGGAAAACCTATTCCAAAACAGTGTCCTGACTTCCCTTGTCGTTCTTAATCCGAACCGACTTGAGCCGACCTGCCGGACACACCGAACGCCCGCTCCGGGGCCTCGCGGGGCCGGTCGAGGGCCGCTCCGGTTCTATGGGCCTCCGCGAACGGCGCAACGGAAGTGACGGAGGTCGGTTGGAAAGTCCGTATTTTGGGGCTTCGGAACAACCATGCTTTCCTTAACTTAGTTACTTAGTTCCATGATGATGGTCCTTGTTCTTATACATTCTGTTCAAGATTTTTCAAGTATGGCAGTGGCGGTGACATCACGCGCATCACGCAAACGTTTTTGTGGCAGTCCAAGCTTCTACAGTTGACGGAAGGGCGGGTACAGCAACTGGCACGACATGACTAGCTTGAGCTGAAGAGCCTGCGACTTGAACTCATTCAAGCACGTCTCAGACTACTTGGCGATGCGGTCCATCATGCTCTCAGCGCTGATCGGCATCCTGCGCCGCAACTAGAAAAAGAACTGATGCGTCTGTTGAACTTCTAGAACTTCATCAGCAATCTCAACATTGTCCTTGCACAAATCAACACTTTTAGCATCTTTTGGCATTTTGTCCAAAAGAACGGACAGGTACCCTCAACTAGCTCACCATAGCTCACCATAGCTCACCTGTCTGCAGTTCGCCGTAACGTCCGGCTCCGGCGATTCTTCCCGACGGCTCCGGCAGTCCTGGCCACCGCCGTGCCCAAGTCGTTTGGACTCAGCCTGAGGCGCAGGAGGCGGAGGCACACATCAAATGAGCCGCGGCTACCTCCCAAGGTTGCATGAGACGTACAGTAGGTACCAGTAGTCATGTGCCTGAGTCCCATCGTCTTGGTAAACGGCATTCGTTTAACAAGCCAGCATCCCACGATCCATCAAAACCTGCATCTCTTCGACACCTGTGTGTTGTGAACATCATGGTACGATTCATCCAATGACATGACATTGCTGTTTCACTAGCCATCTCCCTTAATCCCATGGGGCAAAACGTCTGCCACCATCTGCCACCAGGCCTCAGTCATCCTCGCCTCGCGGCCGCAGCGCGCCGTGGAGGGGGTCCAAGGTGTGAGCAGCGAGGTGCTCACTGATGTCACAGGTGGTATCTTGATTGCCCTCCAAAAACCTGCCAATCGCGCTGCCTTGCTGACAAATGGAAGCAAACTCCTCACTCTTTGGGTTTTTCTCTCACCAACGACGAAGGTGCGAACTCCCCAGCCTGGGCGAGCTGCAGTCCCCAAGCAGGGGACCGCGCGGAAGGCTTTGTCGCCGTCCCACTGGTCAGAACATCCGAAGACCCGCACAGCCGGGGGTGATCTCGAATGGATCAATCCGGTGGATCGACAATCGGGTTCGAGGTGTGAGGTGTGTATCATTTTGGTTGACAGTTGGTCACACTTCTTTCGGCGATCGGCAGGACATGGGCTGCCCCACGCAGTTTGTTTTCCGAGCTAAACTCTGGACTCACTGGTCTCCGCCGTCAGCGAACTGGTCTGCATGTCTGACCTGCAAGGAAAGGATCGTGGGGATCAACTTCGATCGTTGGGCCCTGCTGCATTGCTGCCGCGGCACGCTACAACTTATGATTCTCTGACCCTTGCTGCGGAATACCAAGATTGAGACTAAAAAACCTTCATTTTAGGACAAACATGGACAAACTGTGCTGCTGGCACATCCATGTCGATGGCCAAGGAGGACTGAAGCAAACACGTCGCCCAGGCCTCCAACCTCTGGAGGCCTCTCAGGATCACTTTAGGAAGTCAAGCCATGCTGCTCAGTCCACAGCTGGTTAGCTGCAAAAGCATCCATATACTCCACGTGGCGTCAAACATTGTCACACCATCGCTATGTGCCTACACCTTTTGGACAACGCACACAGGACCGCGTTCGCTGCTGGGACCTTACTTATAAATTTCGGGTCCCATTCCCGGCCTGGCTAGGCATTGATTCAGGTGGGGTGGAGCCATTGATTGGATCCAATTCGTCGAAGAAAGTGCATCATAGTGCATCTTTCCTCATTGCCACCCCCACCCCGTTGAAGGATTATGATCCCAATTTGGCAGCACCAATGGCGCGCGCAAATCTCGGATCTGTGGAGGTCAACGAAAAAGCCGTGCGCTGACTGGCCGGAGATGCCTAGAGAGCGAGCCCTCTTTCTGGCCCAGCCATGCACAGGCCTTGACAGAAATGCGTGAACCGGTGCAAAATTGCAGCCCAAAATGAACACATTCGAGTCTGCTTGGGCTGAGGGGTCGCGGCATTCCTGGTCTACACTTGAAGAGATTCCAATCCACCGACTTTCGCGGGGGTGCGGCAAGTTGGCAAGTCTTGCAACCGCGACAACAAAACAAGTGTGAAAAGAAATGCCAAAAATGGTCAAACGGTCAATAGAAGGTTTGTTTATAGGCCAAATAAGTCCATCGCAGAACCATAGTTCAGTTGCATCACTTGAGCAAAGAAAATCTATGCACAACACTGTGGCGTGCGTGCGCTACTGGTTGCCTCGGGGCTGCCGGGTCGAGACCGTGCGGTGTTTGGCTTCAAATGCGCCAGGACACGCACAAGTCAGGGAAACGGACTTGGCAACCCCAATTCCGTTGCACAAATTGAGTTGGCTGCAGAATCCGGATGAATCAGGGTGGGAAATCCCCTGGGTCCGTGTCTGGCAATGAGATGGCATCCCCCGTCTCTGGCGAAGCCGTCTCTGGCGAAGCCCTCGACCTGAAGCCACGGCGCAGAACAGGGCGGTCGCGAGAACCTTTCATGAAGATAGCCGATGGCTGCATGAAAGCAGGCACCGGAAGATCAGGCTTGAAGGCGAGCTTCAGCACGGTGGTTGGCTCATGTTTCCATCGGAGGGATGTCAAGGCCTCTGGGGCGCCATTGAGGATCACCTAGAGCTAGCACTGATGCACTAAAGGACCAAGTGCTGCAAAAAAGGAATAACTAGCATTCGAATCTGATTTGTGATTGGTTTGTTGGGCATGGAACCAGGTTCCACAAAATTTTGGATACCAATATATAAACATTGCTCAATATTCTTCACCATTGGTCGGGGCGTGCCCCAGTGACTTGATCTTTAAACAAATACGCTGAGACTTGATTCCGAAGTCACTTCACTGCCCTTGCGGAGGTCTTCGGCCTTCACCGTCTTGTTGCCAGGAACCACGATCCGATGGTCGGGGCTCACCACCAGACTTGTCCGCCCCACCTGCAACTCCACCACATCCTGAACTAAATGTGGCTCGGGTCGACGAAGCACTTCGCTTGAGACACCATTGGCTGCGACCACCTTGTCTCCTGCATCCAACCCGCTGGCTGGCACAAAGACCTTTCCAAACTCCTGGCTCAGGACCTCAAAGCAAGTGCCTGGCAGAACACAGCATGGCTCCGAAGTTACCAAAACTCCTCAAGCACTTGCACGACCTGTCTTGCCCCTCCTGGCATGACCAAACGACTTGCCACCATCGTCAGCACATCTGGCAAAGAATTCCGCAACTGAATTGCTGTGATCAAAAAAAGGGCCAAATCTTCTGCAGTCATGCCCTCTACCTTCTCCTGAAATTCAGCCACAAGTCTTGGCACAATCTTCAGCACCTCTGGGGCAGCATTCTGCAACTCAACTGCTGCCCAGGCGCACCGAACTAGATCTCCTGCAGTCATGCCC